TTGAAATGTGGACGCTATTGACGAAATTCTGTAGCGGGGGAAGGGGGGGAAATTAAAAAAAATAAAATAAACTCGTCCTTACTCGGACCTAGGAGAATCTGGATGCCAACTTTGGTTATTCCAGCTTTTATAGTTTCTGAGATCCTTGCGTTCATCCAGACGGACGGACAGACAGACGGACAGACGGACGGACATGTCTAGATCGATTTCTCTCGTCATGCTGATCAAGAATATATATACTTTATGGGGTCGGAGATGCTTCCTTCTGTATGTTACATACTTTGCACAAACCTAATATACCCTTTTTACCCTACGGGTACAGGGTATAACAAGATAGAACGCTACAGTCGAGCAAGCCCGGCAGTAAAATACCCTGTAATCTCCACAAAAAAAGGAAAATTAAAAAAAGATTATTTGAAAAGAAATAAAATATTCAAGACATACATACATAAACAAGAAAGGAATGCTAAAGTCGAGCGAGCTTGCACAGCGTACACACATAAGGCACCTTTGTGCAAAATTTGGTGTCTCTAGCTCTTTTAGTCTCTGAGATCCAGGTGTTCATACGGACAGACAGGCATGCTTCCTTCTGCATGTTACATACTTCGCACAAACCTAGTATACCCTTTTTACCCTACGGGTACAGGGTATAATTAGAAAGTGAATAAACTATATGTAGCTTGGGAATGGTGGAATTGTAGGGCAGTAACACTGATGAATTCATGGACAACAAGTTGGAACTAGAAGGCTAGAGAGGCGACAGTTCCGAGGTCTACACACTTGTAGCGAAAGTGCGCGAAGTGGTAATCGATGCCGTTCACATTGAAAATAGGAATTGAAACAAAAACAAAATGATATCTTGCTCTTGATGCGTAAAATGTACAAACGTATGTATATATCTAAATATTTCTGAGTACTGACTGACAAGTCGCTGCTGTTGGCTGTCAATAACTGACGAGTCGGAAACAAAATGTGTCCATTAGGTTGCGCCCAAAATTATGACAGATGGACGAGGGAGCAACACATTTGAACTGGTAATTCGATGACAAAGTTGTTTTTTGTTTTTTATTTATTTATATATATAGAGATATATATTTTAAACCATCAAAGCATTTTTATTTGTCATAATTTTATCTAAGTGTTTTAGTTGCTCAATTGTTTTGAAGAGAACATGCTAAGTAGTAGGAAAAAAACGATATAAGCGAGAGGAGGCGCTCGAAATTCAATCTGCCAGCATGCCACTTTTTTTATGAGCCACTGATGCAAAGTCTTGATGCAAAGTTCTGACAACAGTTGCCACTTTGTCATGCAATTTTAATTTGAACGTTGCATGCTCACTTGTGATTTTACTTTGTAGTTTTTGTTTGTGCTTTATTTATTTTTTTAAGAGTCGCTGCTCGTATTTTGACAAAGTCGAGAGTTTTTATTGGTTGCAGCAGCAGAAGCAGCAACAGAAGCGCATACAGCATTTTGATTTATTTGGCTGTATGAGGTGCCTCAGTGGCGATTGCCCGAAACGAAATAAAGCCATCAAAACTGTTGACATCGTTGCACAAACATTCGCCGAACGGAAATGACAATGATAACGATGGCGGCAATAATACCAATGCTGATGACGGTGTTTGAATGGTGTGGGAGGGGACGGTGGGGGGGAATTGCAACAAATGAAACGACGAGAGTGCATCGCGTTAAATGCGGTCGTGATTTGTGCAACAGGGTTCGCCCAGCTTTGGCTGCTACTATTACAACGCGTGAAATTGAAAAAGGAGTAAAATTGCAATATCAACAGTGATACAAACGGTTGGGGACCGAGCACCCTTGTAACAGTGAAGGACGTGCGAAAAGCTGCCAACTATTTGATGACTGATATATGTACGACTACGTAGGCTGGCCTGCGCTATGACAAAATGTTTCGAATACAGAAATTGTGTGCTGCGCGTTTCGTTGTATACCGAAAGGGGAAAGGCGCACCCGACACCATCACGATATGAGTCTATAATCCCGTCAGTATGAGCGCAGTATTGAGGAAGAGCTTAATACAACTGACTAACTGACTGGTGATCAACGTACAGCCGAAATATGGACAAGATATTGTTTTCCAGAAGCAGAAAACGATTTAAATGAATCTCCATAACTTGTGTAATTCTTCGAAATTGACTCGTCTAATCACACGTATGTAGACTTTTGGCGCCCACTGTATGTACTCGTATTTGTGGTATTTTTATACCCTGTACCCAAAGGGTACAAGGGTATATTAGTTTTGTGCGAGTGCACATGGAACACACAGAAGGAGGCTTGGTAGACCCCACAAAGTATATATATTCTTGATCAGCATGACAAGCCGAGTCGATATAGCCATGTCCGTCTGTCCGTCTGTCTGTATGAACGCAGGGGTCTCCGATAGAATAGAATAACCAAACTTGGTTCATTTTTTCTGATCCAACAAGTATGCACAAGTACACAAACACGCATAAGGCACGATTCTGATGTAAATGTAAATGTATGTATGCATGCATGGAATATTTTATATTTAATTTAGTTAATTAATTAAATTATTTTAGTTAATTAACTAATAAAATTAATTAATTAATTTAATTAATTTAATTTCTTTTTTGTGGGGTGGTACAGGGTATTTAGAAGTTGAGCCTGCTCGACTTTAGCATTCTTTTCTTGTTTTTTTTTTGCGAAGCTTGAGCAGAAATAGTTGGATGTTGATAATTAAAGACAGTGTATAATTTCAACGTTTCAGATAATAAAACATCGTAATTTAACTATTGAACCACTTACGACCGACTTATCTGTTAGATCCTTCATTGTTATGTTCAGTTTAAATATGTCAAGCCTTAAAATATCCAACGAAATACAATGAAAACCACCTTAACGGACACCTCTTTTAACCGGACACCCCTCTTAGGCGGACACTTTTTCTATAACATACGTTTTGGTGCACTTTTTAGAGCAAGGTCGTCTCTCTTGTGCGGACACTCTCTTGACCGGACGCGGACACTATTTTTCGAGAAATTCGAACCAAAGCCTCCCTTGGCTGGACGCGGGTTAACGGACGCTGACATGCATAAGCACATAAAATTTGAAAGAAAACCTCTCTTGGCCGGACGCGTACCTTTTGGTAATGGACGTTTCAAATGCATGCAAAATAGTTTCATATTTCTTTTATTTCTTTCTACGTATACCCATGTGATCTACTACAAGGTTTTTATAAAATATGTTAACTTCCGCTATTTGATCACATATTATTGTTATTATTTAAATATTTCACATTTATGCTCAGTTCTGCAAGATATATACATAATAATAGTAGTTCTTGAAAAAATATTGAAAATTACATTAAATGTGTTGTTATTTAGCTCAGGAATGGTTGCAATAGGAAAATATTTTAGTTTTATAATAATTTGCAAGAGTAGTGAATATCTGTTTTCTTCTACTATGGCTGTAGCCAAGCACTGCACTTCTGAATATCGCACATTTACTCAAAAATTGTTTTTTAAGGAAAAAATTTACAACATAAAATTATTAAATGAATTTGGATGTTCATTTTTTAATTGAGTGTTTCATATAAGTATTTACAAAATCGTAACGTATTTTTTATATTGAATAAAGTCAATTTATTTTAACCGCCTAAATAGAAAAACAATTAAAACGAGCAAAAAATTGAAACAATTTCTATATATCCTATTAAGCGGAGACTCCCCTTGGCCGGATAAAAGTTGGTCGACGGTGAGTGTCCGGCCAAGAGATGTTTCACTGTAATTAGCTATAATAATAAACTACGTTTCATAGTATAACACCTGAAGCGTTCAATATATTTTTAAACAACTAATTTTTGTTTAAGCTTAATATAGATATAGATAATCTTCTATAAACTTCAATTAAAATAAAGCAAATAAAACATAAGAATATATAATAAACAAAATTATACACAATATTTTCAAACGAAATAATTAACTAGGACAAATAATTGTTAAAACCAAAAAAGAGTAAAACAAAAAGAATTTTAAACGATGAACATATTTGAAATGGAACACCCGTTGTTGTTCAAAAATTTAATTATTCGACCTGGCTTTGAATTCACCTAGTTTTGGAGTATTTGAATGTCCAATTTCGCCCCTTCTCTTAACTCTTCTAGAGTTCCGAATTGCCTTTCGTTGGCATAAACCCGTACAGGCAAGGTGACACAAAGACATTCTTTCGAATTTAAGTCCGGGGCGGGTGCAGGTTACTCTAAAAGGGGAAATTTGGAATGCCAAAAAAGCTTTAGTGATGAGTTTGCAGTATGGATGGGCGCATTAAACAGTGTCCAATAGCTCTACATAATTTTGTGATTCATTGTATGCGTCGTAATCTTTCCATTAAACCCGAACGCAACCCATATCATGAGAGACCCACTCTTAACTACCCATTCTTAACTTAGGGAGTTTCTGGCTAGGTAGACTTTTTGAGGCTTCACATATCGCATATTTCGGGGTCCTTTAACAAGTTTTCCACCGAGACCTTATTTCTGCCAACATTTTCCATAATTTTATGTATTGTCATCCTTATATTACGCAGTGCCAATACTCTTCCACGCTCTTCTCTTTAATGAGCGAAATTGCTATAAATAATGATTTAGTTGAAGCTCACTTATTTTTAATTAATCCTTGGTTTGAAAGAACTCTATATAAACAGATAAAATTTGACGCAATAAACTATCTGCAAATGAAAGCAAACTAATCTGTCCTAGATATTTATTGCGTTCACAAAAGTCAGCGTTGTGTTCTAAAAATAAACTTAGCAAGCTTACTAAACTAAACTAACGAAATATAGGGATATAGAGAGAAAACGAGAAAACTCGTTATCCTAGTTAGTTATTTCGCGCAGCTTATGTCCCACACACCTAAATATTTAACTAACTTCTGTGTACATTTGTACTATTATTATTTATTTATTTCCCAAATAATAAACTAACCACGAGTTTCTCACTTTTCGTTTCATGTGATTGACAGGTAGCGACCATGATGTCCTGCCCCCTCCCTATGCCATTGCCGATACCGATACCTTCAATACACAAAACGGAATTCTCACCGGTTCACATTGGAGTCAAGGTAAGTCGCCGACCATTCAAACCTCGGCTAACTGTCGCTCCCATAAACTCTAGCCGCAGCTCTCGAGCGGCACTTGCGGGCTATTATGAAATAGTAAATTAAGCGAATGAATGAGAAAATAATGCAAATTTATTGCAAATCGCGTCCCAGCGACCCGCATTCAGCAGCAGGATAGAGTAGAATAGAATAGAACAGAGGGCAGAGGGTGTGGAACCGATGGCATACAGTACTCAACAAGTGCAGTAAAATGCTAAATCCTGCAAAGACAACGGTGGCAAGCTGATACACATACAGACGCGTCCTCGTTCGATCGCAAGCACAATGTGGGACTGGGTCCATTGTTGACATTATTACATGCTCATATTCGCACACACACACACACATACACAACAAGAGTCGTGAGCAACAGCCCAGCCCCAACACACTGACACATAGATATGTATTTACGCTAAATAATGTGTGCCACTAAATCAAATGGGCGGCAAGATGGCGCCGCCGCGTCGTGTTGCTCCTTGGTCCTTGTGTGGCGCCCCATTTGACTACAGCTTTAATACGCAGTGATCGCATTTTAATGACACTAAAATGCACTGATGCCGTTGCTATGTTTGTTGTTGCTTTAACATCACAGCACAGCACTGAACAGCATAGCACACATAACAATGATGTCAAGTAGGAAAAGGTGATGGAAAGGTGGTCGGTTGAATGGGGCTAAAATATTTTGGTGAAACGCGTCACGTTTGATAAATGTCAACGCATATTTCTTTATTTTGGTGTTGCCCTTTCGCTTAAATGCCACACATAAATATATTTTTGAATGAATGTCAGGCCAACTAAAGACGATGAAGATGACAACGCACCACGGGAAATGGGAATAGGAATGGGAAACGGGAAATGGGCGAAGAGAAAGGAGTGTATGCATAATGTACTTGCTTTTGTACCTGAAAATAGGGTGCTCGTTGTTTGCATAATGGGCATGGATTTTTGATGAACATTTTAAAGCGTGGCTGCTTTTCAAGCAGACTCCACTACCTATCCACTACTGGCTCGCACATACCGCCAGGCCTAACCAGTATAAATGTGTTTTTAATTTGTTTCTTTTTTGTTTTTACTTTTTTATTTTTATTATTTGTGCGCGCGCGCCTCTTGGGGCCGGCCTGCTATCCGTCTCTTGCTTTGTTTTGTCACTTTGTGTTTAATAAATGATTTTCCGCAAACCGAACCCCTTCGGTGGTGCGGTGGTGAATGCTAACGCACTGCAGATGAAGCTGAAATTGTGGCTGAGCCGTGGCTGTGTCCGTGGCCGATTCACTTTGTGAACGAAACAAATGTTGCCGTATAGTGTTATCCTTGAGGGAGCTTCAGTGCCATACCACAGCTGCATGTGCTGATTGAACAAAAGCTACGACGTTCGTAACGAGCAAGTTGGCCGACATTTTGAGTTCACACAAAATTAAATTCTGCTTCCACTGCTGCTTCGGGTTCTTCTTCTACTGGCTGCTGACCAGAAACCAAAACCAAACTAAGCCCGGCCATGACAGCAACTGTAGGCAGACTAGGAACAACACTGAAAGACAAATACGTTTGTCAGCGGGGCTGGTTGTGTGTATTTTCAGTTTGCAGCTTGGCCAGCACCGAAAACTTGTTGCTGGTTGCTGGTTGCCCAAAGGAAGTCCATTTTGTAGACGTTAGTTGTGAATTTATTTAAATTTTCCATTTCCCACACAACTTCGTGCGGATGCATGCTCAATTTATGCTAATTTTTCTGCGTTTTGCGCCACTCATGCACACTGCGTTGCATAAATAGTGGAGCAATTGAGAACACATTAAACAAATGAATTGTAGCGCAAAAATGTATGCATTTGATTAATTCGGGGTATCCGTAAATAAATATTGCAGTCAGAAAAGTGAAAAACCCAAATGTTCGCAAGCATAGGTACGCGCGTGTGTGTGTGTCTGTGGCAGAGGGAGGGATGGGGCAGTGGGGGACAAAGTGGATTTGAAATATTGTCATTTAAAATGTTTTCACATTCAATGCCGAAGAGTAAATAATATCGAAATTAGCGCGTCGTGTATGAATAATTAAATGTCGCGCTATTGTAAAGCCATTTTTTGTGTTTTAATTTAAATTCTTCCCATAATAGCAATGCAGGCTTGTTGCTGAAAAGGTTAATTAGTCAGCCATAAATTTATCTCTTATTATACCCTGTACGCAATGCTGAAAAAGAGAGTATATTAGGTTTGTGCAAAAACAGGCATATCATTTTGGAAACGGCTAAACAAACTACTACTATATTGACTCTATTATTCCCAAACTGATCACGAAGTTTCGCTAACTTTAGCTATTCTTCATAGAGTGAGTAGCGCCATCTATTGAACGACCTTTCGAATAAACCCAATTACATGCTAACCAGCGTTCTAGTGACAGTAGTTTGTTTCGTTATAAACCAAGGGAACAAGGAGGAAATAATTTGTTTTGTGTACAAAATCTGCGAAGACTTAGGTATTGCTCCAAAATGTATGATTATATAAATCGTAGCGTAGCGGCAAGTCAACGGAAAAGATTGCGTTTTCAGATGTTGACAACTTTTTATGATTGTAAGGGTGAAGTTTAAGAATAGTATATAGTACAGTAAAAACTCTCTAAATGGACACCTCTTTTATCCGGACACTTTTTCTACAGCATTCACCCGTTGTCTCTATATTTATTAGTGTCCCCTTAAGCGGACACTACCAGTTTTACATCGTCTGTGACGCATCACCGTTCTGTTCCCGAAACTGAAAACTGTAGTGGGAGGAGATTTCCAGCCGTGACACAGATGCTAAACAACATCCCAAAAGTCGAGTTAAAAATGTTTATGGATAAATTGGTGGATCGTTTCAAACATTGTAGTGGGTAAAATGTCTGCTATCTTGAATAAATATCAGCTTTGAAACAAAATACCGTTACCATGCTTGTGGTACTCAATAACTAAAACGTTCAATTGTATGTCTTAGATCACGCTATGTAATCGTAATTTAAATAGTAGTTATCTATCCCTCTTTTAAGTTTCATCGTTTTATCTTAAACCGAGGCATTACGAAACCCTTTTATGCATTTTAGCTCTTTATTTTTGCTTTGCCTCTCGTTTAACTACGAATATAACAAAGCGTTGCAAGTTCTTTGGGTGCTGGGTATTTCAACGTCGGGTTTTCTCTCTTGTTTTTTAGTTTACTATAGGCGCCCAAACAAATCTGGGAAATAAACGGCTTAACGAGAGTCAGCACGGAGAGTCCAAATTATGAAATAAATGTGCGGCTGTGTGTTTAAGCCTCGTTGTATTCTTAGAGCCCAACAATGTCGGCTAATTAAGCCGAATAACAGCACGCAAAGCAGTTTGCTTGTTGGTCTGGCCGCCCGGCTACAAATTGATAACGAACTCCACATTGGCCAGTTCATAAAAAAAGGGAAACTGTGTGCGCCCAAAAGTAGGCAAAAATTAATAAAATGCGCGTACAACAGACAGAGAGGACATCGATGTCGAAATTTAACGAGCTGCCAGCTGGCTGTTAAACTGAACTTCCCACCCAGCGGCATGACGTACACTTCCACTGACCGGTTGGCATAAATCATCCGAGAGCAGGGGAACTGGTGTGGTGCTCGAGGTCCGCCGCCTTTAGATTAGCCATGGCGGCGGGCCATAAAAAAGCGTTTAAGAACAGCGTAGAAAAAAATTCAAGGTGCGCGAAAAAACAATATTAAATAATGAAAAATGAGACAATGGACAAGCTTCCGTTTTATGGGTTATGTGCCACTGCGAAGTTTTGGCGCCGTGTGGTGTTTTATTATGTGTACATAAATACATATATAATTAACTAGCCGGACTTGCCCGTCGCTGCTGGACTAAGTATTTCTGCGTACAATTATATATTTATTTATAATATACGCTTCCATCTGACAAACCTTATGCAGTAACTGCACAGAAGATAATCATTTTGCTAGGAACCGAGCGCTATACATAAGTCTGCATATGTATCGACTTATGATTGTGGGAATTTTAAGTTAAGATTTCCGAATTCTAGTTGATTTACAATAAAAAAACAAAAATAAACGGTGAGGCAGTCTACTCGAACGGAATGCATAATACAAGTAATTATAGAAATTAAAAAAAATAAGAATATTTATTTATTTATTTATTGGATTGGTTTTACCTTCTTTAGCATTCGAACTCACGTAAAGGGTGTATAACTGCACATTTACATAGGAATTGTGTCTACAAGTATGTGAGTGTATGCATGTCTATGCGTGTCTGTGTGAAAGCATGTATGCAGTACAATGTTGAACCAAATCAGCAACAAAAAAATACACATTTTCTGTGTATTCATATAAGGTATCTTGGACTAAAATTTGGTGTCCCTAGGTCTCATAGTCTCCGATCCCTCATAGGAGGGAAATTAAAAAATAAAATAACCTCGTATAGCGACACACATAAGGCATCTTTGTGCAACATTTGTTTTGAGTGACGTCATTCCTTGTGCCGCAGTTTTTAAAGTGTCCCTTGCCCGATATTTCAATTTGTTATTAAAAATATGTATGTATTTACTATTTGCTGTATACGTATATCAGTCTAATGTCGTCTGCAAATAGCGCGGTATTTAATAGCACAATAATATAATACTGCATCAGTAATACCCTGCAATACTCAGCCCTGCTCTGTCGCTGCCTAGCGACTCGAACTGTGATAATTTCGATAATTCTACATTTCATACATTACCAAAGTTCTCAGTTGGAATTTAATTACATTTTATTGGATTAATATTGGAAATATCAACGCTGTTTGGAAATTTAGCCCAGCCATTATCTATTGATCGGTTCAGTTCAGTCAAATCCATCTGGCTTGCCGTTCGCTATCAATGTGGTACTATGTGTGTATATTTGTGAGCCTGAGATCGATGGTCAGAAGCTATAGTTTATTTCACATGATTTCATTTTACATACCAGTCAGTTTTCTCGTTGAGATTTA